CAGGTCCAAATCTATGCGTTTCCTTACACTCCACAAATGCCTCATTATATCTCTTTCGGGTTAACTTTCTTGCCTTGAAAAGGCTTTTGCATGCAATTTTGATATAAAAAGGTATTCGTACACACCTATGCGATTGCAGTCCGAGAAATACTTAAACTCACCGCCCGAAACCGACCGGTAGTGTTCTTTTTACCGCATGTGGAATGGGACGAGACGCTGAAGAGTCCGCTTTTCTTTTGGCAACCATCAAATATTGTTTTAACGAGTTTCAACGTCGGTTTTTCATAAGTTACACTCATCTGCTACCATGGAGATAACGTGCCAACGATCCACTATTTTGTAATGATAAACCGTCAATGGTTCCCTTTGAACAATTGGAGTACTTCTTTACAGCAGTATTTCACGCCATTTAAGTGCAAAACTTAATAGCTGCTGCGTCGTTGCTCATCGACTAAGCATAATTTGCTTCTGATTTCCTTCTGTATGCTGATGACCTCAAAATATTTAGACCGATTACTTGTGAGACAGACATCATAATCTTGCAACAAGACATAAATATCCTCAGTGACTGGTGCCGAGTGAACAAACTGGATCTCAACGTAAACAAATGTGCGGCCGTATCTTTCGCTCGCTCACACTCACCGATCCGCAAGAGCTACAAACTTGATGGGCTTGAGATAGCGGAGGTCGAGAACATAAAAGACTTAGGTATCATTGTTGATAATAAGCTCACCTTCTCACACCACGCAGACAAAATTACATCAAAGGCGTTCAAAGCCCTTGGATTTATACTGAGGAGTGGTAAAGATTTCAAAAACCCTTGGACACTCATTAGACTATTCAAGTCACTTGTACTACCAATTTTGGAATATGGTTCGGTAATCTGGCTTCCCTACACTAACACGACAATCGATAAAGTTGAAAAGGTGCAGCGTAAATTCTGTAAGTCACTGGCCTATAAACTATCGTCACCAAGTCACATCTGCACTACTGATGAGGTCTACCAGTTTTCTCGTCGACAGGTCGCTGACCTCTGCTTTTTCTACAAAGTAGTCAATAACATCACTGATGCTCATGAGATCCTAAACAGTTTTGAACTCGCCCCTGCTGGTCTTACCCTGAGGCGAAATAGATGAAAAACATCGAAATCCAAGAAAAATTATGTTATCCATGGTCCTCAGAATAGACTGGCTAATTTAGTAAATTCACTTCAAGGTGAAATTGATTTCTATGGAGGAACATACGCTGCTTTTACCGAAAACACCAAGAGACACCTGCTCGTCTGAATTACATCTAAATCAAGTCTGAATTACATATTAACTTACAATTATTTAAATATTTTCCAGATATTATACTAATATACCCTAGCCACTTTTGTATAATACTTTAATTCTTTATTATATCTATGTATACTGCCGATTGGCGTTTAAATAAATAAATAAATAATTCCACCGGAACATATCATACGCCGACGAATATGCTTCGAAGATGGCGAAGAATGTCATATTGGGCGCTAAGCTGATATTCGCAAGGTGTGATATACGTCGACTACCTGAAGATGGGGAAAAGTGGTCATACAGCGCTACTATGTTCAATTGTAGGGATGATTTAACGCTGAATCACAGAAAAATCGGCTCCATTTGAGAATACGTAAGACGGATTAAAAAAGTCGAGACAGCGCTAATCAAATGAATTGAGCTAAGAAATGTATATACCGCTTCTTTCCATAATTTTCGTTTTTCTTTTGTGGGCTAAGTGCTTAGCCTACCTCTTTCATATATTGTACAATTGCTTAAAGATTTATCGCGTCGGCATTTCTGCACATTTATAAGACATTATATACCACAAAACAATTATTTAACAAATTAATAAACTAAAACGTTTAATGATTTCCTAACTTCCATTAAACATTACTTTCACTATCTCAGCTGACATGGTTTAAGACGACCGCATGTTAATACCTTTGTCTCGTCTAAAGAATTGCTTACGTTCAACAATTTGTTAAAATCGCTTAAATAGTCTTAAAAAACTGACTTTAGAGATCTCGGCTTCCTCCCATCATGAATTCCGGCTCAGTAAACGCCATCGCTTCAAAAAGCGCAACAGTTTTATTTTGACTTATTCAGTTTCTGAGAACATATGTTTCTATTTGGCTGCTTTCACTTTGCCATATCCAAAAAGCTATTAACTATCACTTATAAATACGAACTTCTCAGGCACGGAGCAAAATTTGTCGAAAGTTTGGCTATTGTGTCCAACGAAAACTTTTTCCAATACCAAGACATCACCAAAGCAATCTTCTTACGTTAAAAAGTATCTCATAATTTCAAATTTTACATCATTGCGCTCATTATTTTGATACACATCCATATGGGGTCAATAAAACACAGCGGGATATAAATTAATAAATTGGCCACATATGCCGAGAGAAAGCAAAGCATACCTCAATTACATGTAATTTGCAATAATCTAACGAGAAAAGACCGACACACACCCACCCAAAGCACCGCAAATCACATCCATCTGTTGAACACACACACCCAAACACACGTAGCTTCAAAGTTTTAACAAAAAGTGTCAAAAGTTTTTTCGTCGATATAAATTCGCTAGCAAACAACGAAGTCTATTCGTGTTCAATACGGCATAAAAAGCTTTAGACACCCTCGTCAATTATTGCGATACACTTTGATGACTACATGCACTGAACTAAGCGCACTTTGATGGGTGGTTGTGAGCAAACACCACGCAACCGGAATTGTTCCTTTTGACCCTTCACTCCACCTGCTAAACTCTATTTTGAAGCTGTTACAAATTTTTGTGTGCATTGTGTTGTGCCCGGCGGCCAGCAGTCGGCGTATTTAATTGCTGACTGTAAGACTTATGGTGGACCTTGTTGCCAGCGTTGTTCAGTTTTGGCTTCGTGTCTCACTTCTTGGCGCTTTGGTGTACTCAAAACACCGTTGGTTCTTCGTTGTAGGTTAGCTAGGATGGTGCTGTGGTTGTTGTATTTGTTGCCAATGCTGTCTTGTTGCCATGTTGCTGTTGCTTGTTTTGTTGTTTGTTATAGCTTGATATCAATTAACTTGTGTCAATATTTAAACGAGCTACTTGAACGCGTTGCACATTAAACGTTCCGTTATTTTGTTAGTTGTTGTTGGTGCAAGCCAACATTCTAGCGCTCCTTTTGCAGCTAACGGAGTGCGGCGTCGTTGCTTTGGAGGTTAGCTTGCGGCGATGCTTTGACATGACAGTTAAATGAATTTTGTTTATCTAATAGCGCACGTAGGCAAATAATCCGATTTCGCTGGTTCTACTCCGGCACAAGGAGAGAGCAAAGAAAATGGCATACATATAGTTTGTCATATATAAAAATCATTGGCAAAAACTTCAGAAGGGACTCAGTGGAAGTTTCAGATGCGTCTCAGTCCTTTGAAGCAAAGCAGTATTTGTTTTCATGCGTTTTCAAGACAAATTAGTAAAAACTGAAGGCCAGATGTTTCAACGATTTGTCTCTGCAAATATTAGTTCCGATTCTAGCAATATTATTGTACAATATTTTAATATATTTTTTTTTATCTGCCTTACTAGAACTCAGAAATGAGCTGTTCTGACGTTATTACGCCATGGAGGAAACCGATGTTAGTAAAAGGTTTTAATGCAAGGCATGCAACAACTTGATCATATGGTTACTGTTGGTAAAAAAATATATGTTTGATATGTCGGCCTCAGGTCTGGTTATGTAGGATAGTTACCTACTACAATATTTAAAGCATTATTCACCCGGATTTTCTCCAGCCTCAAGAGCAATACAAGCTCTTCGTCTGCTACTGATAATTACTTGATTCTCAGAACGTCATTGGTGGGCTCTCAAAACATCATACTATGGAGGTCAACGCTATATGAAAGATGTTAATATCTACCAGTTTCCAGAAGGATGCATCCAATATATATTGTGAGTATGGTAAAATATCTTCTGACGAATCGAGAACATTCGGAGGAATGTCCATAGTTTAATGTTCGGTCGGGTATGAAGCTATTTCACCTGCATCCTACTAGTCTGCCGGAATCATATTAGCATTAGCAATACAATTAACTACTGCAATCATTCGTCCAATTCCTAAGTGAGGTCAGCACAAATCTTACAGAGCAGTGGATTAAGTTTCTTGAAATGAAGGAGCCATAAAGGTCGGAGGGATAGTCATGTAATTTAAAATAATGGTTTATTCGACCGACGTTTCATATCCTTCAGCCCTTACTCTAAATTAAAATTTCAGAATAAAAATCGGCAGAAAATCCTTCGTGAGAACTCTAAATATTTAGCGAAAAATTAGAGATTATTCTACTAGTATTTGAAGCTATTCAATCGTAATAAGCCCGAATTGTGAAATAAGCATAGACCCAGCATTTCACTCCGAGCGCTATCGATAGTCATGCAAGTGGCTTAGAAGCAGAAAATGGTGCTTCATCGCGATACTACTCGTATGAAAACATACAGTACAGAAATTAAGAAAAAAAATGAAAGAATTGCATGAATTTTGCTTCCGCATCCACTTGGATGGGATCTGGAACCTAGCGACTTTGTCTCCAGCCTTAAAAGAATGCTCGCTGAAAAGATATCGCTGACACTGAAACATATTTCGAAGAAACAATAGAGCCATAAAACTACAAAAATTACATCGATAAGTTCAAAAATTGCTTAATTGGTGGCTTTTCAAAATATTGCGAATTCTTCAACGATTTATAAGATATTAGTTTGAACGAAGAAGAGTGCCACTGATAGTGTCAAATCGCCCATCAGCTAATTCCGTAAAGGCATGTAGTATATACGTTTCCTACATATCGTTTATATCATCAAACCACTGTCCAAAATTATAAACCATTTCTTTTATTATAAAGTAATTAGAATTTATTTTTTGTTATAACTTTTTAAATATTTTATTATTTCATTTGATCGTTTACATTATACTCAACTTGATCCTTTTCTTGGTTAAAATTTTTAATTTAAATTCTCTTTTCTCATTTACATAAGTTTTGTGCTGGTATGGTTTCTTAAGTGCAAAAATATTTTGAGTTTATTATTATTTTCTCTTTTCCTCTCCGTTAGTCTTTCACACCTACATACATATGTATGGACATATTTTCACTTTGACAACATCAATACTATACACAAGGGAATTATATATATTCAATAAATGCAATTTGTTCTCTTCGGGATATTTTGTGTTGGTAAAAATATATTATTTTAAAATGAAAATAAAAAATTTACTGTTTCTTTTGGTTTTTAAATTTGTTTGAATTTTTGTGTTGTTACAAAAGCTAATGTTAAATGAAGTAAATTTATTAGATTAAAATATATATGTCATTGTATGTATCTAAGTTATGCAAAAATATTTTTTTAATTAAAATAAAATTCATACCATATGTTTATGCTGGCATATATGTATAATGATGTACATTATATATTATAATAATACATTATATATTATATATAATATATGTATTTATGTATACTGCAACAAAAATTTTACTAAATTCTAAGCTCTAGCAAAATATTGTAAGCTTCGACACGCAAAACAATTCAGGCACATAATTTACTACCATTAATAAAATCAATATGTATATATGCATGGACATACATCTACATACATATATTTTAATTTTAATGTTTAAAATTTGGCTAATTAATGAACACAGCAAGCGTACAAACATATTTCTCTATGTATGTATGTGTATGGATGGATTATTTGTTTTATTCACAAGCTAATTAATTCCTATGTTGGAAGATTTTCTCTGAAAAGCTGTCAAATGACTGGCAGAAAAATAAATATATATTTTTTCCGATATTTTATGTCATATACTTCATTCCTGCATTGAAATTTTCTTCATCCGTTCGACCGATGGCTCGGAAAAATTGGATTTTAGTACGTAATATATTGGCTACTAGGCGCCCAGAAATAGCAGGCAGTGAGTGCCGGAAATATTTTCTGGATATTTTGTTTCCTGCCCCTGAGCTTATACTACAATCCTGGATTTAAATTTTTCCCATCCGGTTCACCAGGGCCCGGCAAAATTATTATTTTAGTGGGCTAATCGCTGGTTCGTTACTAGGCGCCCAGAAATACCAGGCAGTAGGTGCAGGAAATATTTTCCTCAATATTTTGCTTCCTGCCCCTGAGCTTATACTATAATCCTGGATTTAAATTTAGTGGTTTAAAGATAGTGGTCGACAAAATTCAATTTAGTAGACAAATCGCCGGTTGGCTACCAGGAACCCAGCAATCACAGGCAGCTGTCAGCGGAAATATATTTTTCAATATTCCTTCATACTGCTCCTAAGCTTATGTTAAATTTTTGCCATCCGGCAAACAGTGGCCGAGAAAGTGTTGATTTTGTGGGAAATTTGCTGCAGAGCTACCAGGCACCCAGAAACAGCGAGTAGGGATCAGATATTTCTTTAAAAGCTTATAATTTCTACAATTATGGACCGATTTCGATGAACGAGCTGACATTGGAAAGTACAAAGCTTGACGCTTCTAATAAATGTATGCATGTTTAAAATGTGTTAATACCTTTAGCGTTAGATTAGCAAGAAATATATAATAGCTATTTTTTTTTTTTTTTAAATCGCTGTTAAGCGCTTAGCAGCCGCGTAATTTGTCAGGTTATGTTGCTGGATTATGTAGCTATCGACATATTTGCTAATTTACTGCAATTTCGGTTTCATATTTTGTAAATTACCAAACAGAAAACCAAATAGATATGTGCAGCTTTTGCGCTTAAATTGTAGATTTAATTGTATGTCAAAAATATTGTTATATTTGATGTATGCTGAATTAGAGTATGTTTGTTTGTCAGTTTTGCATAGATTGCAATTATTCTTGCGCGCAAAGCAGTAAATAATAAAGAAAAAATTATAAATAAAAAATGAAAATTTAAATTGTTTTCTCAAAATAAGTATTTATATTTTATTGGTACCATATTTTTTTGTTATTTGTATTGCATTATTATTAGTTATTATTTTAGTTAATGTCTTTTCATTAGGATTACAATACAACTTAGCTTTGTTTGCTTAATTATTATAATTTTTGTTTTCACCACGCAGCCTAATTTAGTAATTAAACGAAATGGTTAGCTTTGTGTAGGTATGTATGTATGTATATGTGTATATATGTATGTGTGTTACGCTAATCATTGTTGTATAATACAAAGTATTGTGGCTCTTGTATTAAGTAAAGTTAGTGAATATTAATTAGATTAATTTAGTTTAAAGACTAAGCAAACATGTTTTGTTGCTTTTTGTTGTTGTTAGCTTGCTATTATTTTAATTATATATGATTATAGTAAATGGTTAAATTGTTGGCTGAAGTCTAATGGATAATAATAATTATCATTACAATCATTTGTTTATGTATAAATTATATACTATATATAAATATTAATAAACGCTACAATACGATTTACTATATTCATAGGAGTTATAATTATACATATAATATAATATTTATAATAAAATTATTTAGTTTAATTGTAATTGGTAAATCGTAAATGGAAACCCTTGCGTAGTGACGCTTTACTGTTCTTTTTTGTTGTAATTTTGGCAGCTGAAATGAATTTAAGATTTCGGTTTGCATTGTTTTTCCAAATTAATTGGCTTCAATTGCTGTGGGAAGCTTTAAAATTGTTTGTGTGCTAAGTATATCAAGAAAAAAATAAATCATATACTTTGAAATGTTAATGAGCAGGTATTACTAATGGTGGTTAGCGAGCGTAAAGGAATTTTCGGAAAAGACTAGAGAGCAACAAAAAAAGCTGCTGCAAAAAAAAAAAAAAACAATAATAATAATAATAATAAACAATATGCTTGTAATTTTATATATAGCACTGAAAGCGTTTTACGGGAATATTCTAGTCAAGAAATAAACAAAAAGTCGATTTTTTTATATTTTCAAAGTTTAACTTTTCAAGAATATAGCTAAAAGCGCATTTTTCAAAATTCAAATTATTTTCAGCGATATTCAAAGGTGTTTTGCTAACGCGGCATTCAAACTGTTTCGGCCGCAACTGACACTTTAAACGCGTTTTCTAGAAACTGTCTTTTCAAAACGATAACCGCGATTTCTCAGGTTCTAATGGAGCGATTTACCAGACATTTTTAGAGAGTTTTCTTTATATTCTATATCTATCTCTAGATCCATAATCCCAAATTTCAATTTTTACTATTTTTAAAACAGTCAAAAAAAGTGGTACAAAATTTTTTTTTGTTTTTCAGTTAGGTGCCATTTTGTGAAAATTTTTTTTCCAACTTTTCCGTAGAATCAGACATTGCGACATTATTCTGGATTAATATACTTTTTTTTGGTGTTTCAGATAGCTAGAAAGGTTGAATTCGTGGGTATGGTCGCGTGACAATTTTTTGAGACTGCCAACTACATCAGCTGCTAATATTTGAAAATTTTATTTTTTTATTTATTCTTTGATTTTTCCTGTCTTCTAGTTATGTAGGTAAAAATATTCATTGCCCGTTTCTATGAAATTAGCTTTTTCAAAAATTTCCTGCTCAATATTTTTTACTTCGAAAATTTGTCTTTTCCACAAATGACGTTTAACGTTTTGCTCAGTTTTCTTCAATGGTTTTTTTCTTTTTCTCATTTATATTTCATAGCATTCACATATCGTACAATTGAGTATGACTTCCCACGGCTTGTAAAGCAAATTTCAATTATACACTTAAACTTAACTTAGTCACAAAAGTGTAAAGGCAATTAACACAAATCAGAAATTAACCGTAATCGCACTTAATTGTGTAGTTGTGTGTGTGTGTGATGGGCACTGTATACAGCCAGCAGAAATTGGCTAAACGGCGCTAAGCGAACTGTAAATTCTAAACACACATCGTTATTTGTATAAACATTCCATATACTACAAATATGTATGTGTGCATTACAGCATACATTTAACTAAATAGCATTAAACTTAAGTTTAAACGCTTAACAAAACTTACAAATACATATAACTGCGGCAAACTTAACAAACAAATTACAAACTCACTAAGCCATTGCGTACGTGGACATTTCTACCAAACAACAACCGTACTATTATGCACGTGTATGCGTGTCTGTGTGTGTGCAATTAAATAAGGCAGAATATAACATTTACTTTGCAAAAGATTTAGTTGGTTATTTATTCCATTAAAAAAAAAAATAAACGAAACACAACGTTTCCCTTTTTGTTTGCAAGCCAGTTTATAAGTATGTATGTGTGTGTGTGTGTTAAGCAAATCACGTTTTTTTTATTATGCTCGCTTTTAGTTTTTGCACAGCGCGCATGTGCGCCTTAAATTATGCTTTTCACTTATATTTTTAAGCTTATTTTGTATTATTTTTAGTTTTCTATTTGTTAAATATTAGTTGCTTGTTGGTGTCTTGTTACAATTACAGCGCTTTAGTTGAAGTGAAATTAATTAAAGTTTACAACTACACAAACAACGCACTGCAATGTTTCGCTTACAAATTCTAAGGACATATTGCTAAAAATTTATTTTGCTTACATAAATCATTAGTTTTAGTATTATTATTATTATTAGTATGCTTATTAGTAGCGCTCCAAAATGGAGTTGACACATTCAGACACTTGCTTTCTCGCTTTCATTTCACGCTTCTTGCGGTTAGTTTCACTTATTAGTTTGGCTGCCATTTATATTTTATTTATTTATCAATTTCTATTTTGGTGCTGCAAATTTTTCGCTTTTCTGCTTCTTTCTTGATTTATGTGCTAGATTCTCTGCCACTGCTGCTAGTGCTTATATAACTACACTAGGAGTTATTCTCACAGTCATCGAGTTTGTGCTTCATACGGAAATTACTTAAAAGATCGGCGCAATTGTTCACCATCATTAGGTAGTCGCCATTGTCTAGATTCGCCTGTTCAGTGGTTGTGTAGGCGTGACTATGTTGTGTATTGTTTTTGTCGTTTCTGGAGGACAAAAGGTATATATATTATTAATTAGAAATAAAATTAGAAGACGCTGTAATACAGTTAGCACAAAAAAATTGGTATAATGGAATATAAATAACAAAATATATATGTATATATAAAAAAAAAATTTAAAAACAATATAAAAAAATAACAGATTGTTTTAACAATAAAATAAATAAGAATACTTATAAAACAATAGTTAGTAAATTAAGATGGCTTAGGTTTATAGAAGAAAGGAAATGTCGGAGGCCATAAAAAGTGTATGCATAAATAAACAGAGTGACGAGTTGCGCCTACCATTTAGCCATGTGCGACTGTCTGTATATCGCGAACTAGTATCTTAGTTTTGGGATATTGAACTGAAATTTTATACACGTTCTTTTCTCGCCAAGCAGCTGCTCATTTGTCGGAACCGCCGATATCGAAACACTATAGCATATAGCTGCCATACAAACTGACAATTCAAAATCAACTCTTTGTATGAAAAACTTTTTTATCTGATAAGGTATCTTGAAGAAAATCAGCATAGTTTATTGCTCAAGGCAACATTACACTTTTTAAAAAGATTGTTTAGATCGGACCACTATAGCATATAGCTGCCATACAAGCTGAACGATCTAAATCAAGATAAATATCTCTTTATACCTTTTATGCTATAAAAAATGGACTTGTGAACGGTATTATAGCTTCGCTGAAACCGTAGCTAACAGTTTCTTTTTGCTCGATATTTGTTAATCACGTTAATGTTTATTAATTTTAATAGTACATCTATAAAAGTGGACAACACAACTGACAACCTTTACTAATTTAAATATTAAATAAAACATTTACATTGTACAATAACAACAACCACTGAGATTCTTAGCTTACTTACTTCCTTAAATGCTCAACAAAAGTCGAGCTTTGGCAACCTTGGCAATTGAATTGAACAAGGACTTTTTTAAGTACAAATATGCTGTTATCAAAGATATTGTGTAGAGTAAATTCCCTGTTTTCATTAATACCCTTCAAAAACTTAGTATTTTACTTCTGTTGCACTTTCAGTCCACATTAGTAATAGAGTAGGTTTACTAAGAATTTTCCAATTACAAAACACAGTTAGAAGTTTTGTGTAGCACCAGTGCACCGGTTAGAACCAAAGAAGGTGGCTTAATAGCTTTAGATAGGTCTGACATGATTCGAGGGGTCATTACTAAATTGAAAATTATAATAAAAAATAAATATTAGAAAATAAATAATAAAAAATAATAAATTAAAAATTAATGGAGAAAAATTAAAAAATTTAAAATTAATAAACAAAATAATAATTTTCTTTTTTTTTTTGTATTTAAAATTAGAATAAAAAATTAACATTAATGAAAAATTAGTAAATATAATAAAAAAAATTAAAGTAGCGGAAATTGGAAAAAAATGTTTAAAATTCATAGAAAAAAATTAAAAACTTTAATAGTAATAAAAAAAATAAATTATAATAAAAAATTAAAATTATTAAAAATATAACATAAATACAATAAAATATAATAAAAAAAAATTTTAAGTGAAAAATTTTAATAAAAAATTAAAGTAACAAAATATTGAAAACTAAAATAGCCTAAGAAGATAATTTTGGAAAATTTATACAAAAATATTCGAAATAAATCTAAAAGGTTTAAAAAAGGAATATTCACTTCGCACATGTATTTTAAACCAAAGAATATATAAATCAAATCAAAAACACCAGCTCAACTCACTTATTTTGTGTAATGTTTGTCAACATATTTTGTGTCATAATCACAGCATTCTCCAGTTCCTTTAGCATGAGTGAATCCTCACAATTCTTAAGATTAGCATGCAGTTGCATGACTGTTTGTGTTGTTGTATACAAATTGTTGATCACATTGTGCACTTGTGATTTTGCTACAACACAAAAAAGTTGAACACATAAAATTTACCCGAAATTATAAAAACAAATTATAAAACTTACGATCACTGCCATCAAGTGCGACGAATTCAGGCGCCTCAAATGCGCCACGCTGCTTCATCACATTCGGACTATTGAGCACTTTGCTCTTATGATCGAAGGTTAAATTGCGCGGGCGTGGTGGCACTATTGGTTTGGAGTTGGACGTACCGGCGGGTGTCTCCTCGGAGCTGGAATCGTCTTGCTGTGGCGCGGCTGATGAAAAAAAGAAGAATTGAATATATATTTCTAAAATTTTTTTTTTAATAAATATTTTGCTTACCGTTACTGAAATTTGGCTGTAAGCCTTTTCGTCGATTGTTGTTGGCATTCGAACTCTTGTTGGCATACTGACGATTAGCAGCTAGCGTATAAAAAAATATTAATAACATATATTCAGACAACGCTTGCATATATAATGCTGCACTTACCCGTGGGACCATTGCTGCGATTTTGGTTGTTGACACTGCTTCGGCCACGATTGCTGTCTTCGTTTTCAGAATCGCTCTAAAATTTAAATGGATTTTTGAATATATTAAGAATTTTTTTTTGTTATGTGCTTGCTGTAAAATTATTATTTTTTTTAAAATAAAATAACAGTATTATTTTAACAGCATACGCAATTTTTCTCTAGACAATACAATTTACAATTATTTTTTTTTATTTTTTTAAAATTTTTTATTGTTATTGTAATACATACTGCTTGATTTAGCACACCAATTGATGAACTCGATGCGCCCAAACCTCCAGCAGAGCTCTTAAGCTGCAAACTATTGCGCTTATTCGCCGATCTTGTTGTTGTACTGTTACGATAGACCACACCCGGATTTTTCAATTGACTCCCGTTTGTCTTACCAGCTGAAATTAATGTCAGATAATCATTATATATTACCATATATGTTAAATAATGAAGTCAAACTACTTACATTTGCCAAGGTTTCCCATATGCAAGTCACTAAGTGAGCAAGAGCGCCGCATAGAGGAGTCTTCGGCTGGCATTGGGAGAAGACTCTTTGGATTGCCTGTGAAAAAAAAATTAAATATTGTGTAAAAATATAAAAAATATATATGAAGAAGGAAAATGTGTTTAAAAATTATAATAATGGAATAAATTAATTTATTTTAATTATATTATTGCGTATTAGTAGTATTAATAGAAAAAATTATAAATTAAAAATAAATAAATTATATTATATAAATAAATAATAGTAAAAAAAATAGTATAAAAATAAAATAAAAAGCAAGAAAAAATGTTAACTTCGGCTACAATAATACCCTTCACAGCTGCATTTCTTATATCATAAAAGGGTTTGAAACAGTTCTTTATCTTTATTCCGATCGTTCTGTTTGTATGACAGTTATATGCTATAGTGGTTCGATATGACACATGAGATTATAGCGTGACCTTGGATAATAATCTATGCCAAATTTTGTGAAAATATCTTGTCAAATAAGAAATTTTTCGATAAAAAAAAAAACTTGATTTTGATCGATCAGTTTGTATGGCAGCTATATGCTATACTGATCCGATATCGGCGTCTCTGACAAATGAGCAGCGGAGAAAATGACGTGTGCGAAATTTCAGATCGATATCTCACAAACTGATGGAGTAGTTCGAATATATACAGACAGACGGACAAACAAACGGACATGGCTAATATGCTAGTCACACTGATCACTTAAAAGTATATATTGTATATATATATATATATATATATATATATATTATATATATGTTTTTTAGAGTCTTCAACGTTTCCTTCTAGGTGTTATAAACTTTGTGGCCAACATAATATACCCTGTTCAAGGTATCGGAAAAGTAATACAGGACTAAGTTCGGACACATCCGAATACTTAATAGCGCTTATAATACTTTGTGGGCCTGACAAAACTGTGTTTTCAAAATCAGTCTAAAATATTACTAACAACCGTTAAGTAAACAAAATAAATTTTTAAAGAAATATATTATGTGAATATAAATTTTAAAAGAAAATATCAAAAACAATTTTAATAAAAAAATATAATATTAATGAAAATTAATAAAATCAATGTACTTTAAATAAAATATGAATTAGAGTAAATTAAGATATTTTTATTAAACAGACAAAGTAATATCATCTTTAACAATTAGTGGTATTGGTGATCATGGATGAAGGATGGGTGAAATAGAAATTGTAACCGATTTTTTTTTTGTAATGAGAATATGTATGTATGTATGTAAATAAACACTTTATGTATTTTGCATTTTTGGGAACGCGAACAAGTGACTGAGAGCATGATTACGGTGATCATTAGAGACACAAAAGAAAAACAACAATTTTGCCACCAACTCAACCGTAATGTACCGTAAAAAAATTGTAACCAAAAAAAAAAAACAGTGCGTCGGTGATGAAACCACACAAAATATTAGAAAGAAAATCACAAAAAGAAATGTGTTCCAAAACATTTATAAAATAAACACGCTATTGAACGCACGCAGCAAACCTCGATCCTTTTCGTCGAAATCAATGCGCATCTTTTCGCTCTCATGTTCGACCACATCTTCAGCTGCCTCCACATCCGAGTCGGCCTTCACCTCCTTCGCCAGCTCAACTTCATCCTCATCTGTCGATGAGGAGTGCGCAGCTGGCGGCGACTTGCCGAACAAATCAGTGCGCTCCAGCACATCAGGCAAACTAATATTACGCTTGATGTGGCGCGCATAGGCGCACAAATCTGCATCATTACTATCGGCACGTATGCGCCGTTGCTCATTCTCGATATCCTTTTCGATACCCTTGGCGAGCATATCGAAATTCATCGTTAAACTCTTCACATAACCCTTCTGCTTGGAGTTGCATTCGAAGGGACGCATGCGCGACTCGGTGGCAATGCGTATTTGCTCCAGCTTGCGCTCTTCCATTTCGATTAGTTTTTGTATGATATCGATTTTCTTAGCAATATTTTTACATTGATTACTGGTGGTCGTGTCGGCGGCAGTTGTCTTCTCCACATTGGCCATATTCTTTTTATGCTTGGCATCGCGCTCGCGCTCTTGCTGTATCTCGTCGACTACCGCCTGCAGTTCGGGTTTTGTGTATAATTTCAAACTATCCATATTCATATTTTCATGTTCATTACCATTTTCGGCTATGTACATTTCGAAGGAACGTTCGCCACCATAATCGCTTGGCAGACTGCCTACAATGGGCGGTGGCGATTCGACATTGCGATTTATGTCATTTAGCGGACACGTTGCAGTGGTGCCTGTTTCACGCTCCATTGTCGCGCAGGCAGAGTAAGCGGACGCGGTGCTGCCGCTGCTGCATGAAGACGAACGCTTTTCGCTGGGCGTATATTTAATTTGTGAGACTGTATTGAAGCGCACCGCTACCTTAGGGCGGCCGCGTGTGCGCATGCTTGTGGCGCGTCGCGACGCCGCCACATTCTTGACGTTCGTATCGAATTTCGAAACTTTTTTCAAACAACTGTGTGTGGTAAGCGCGCCACTGCTCACAGACGGGCGCATACCGCTCGCTTTTTTTGCTTGCAACTCGGCTTGCTTTTCGCGCTCGAATTTTTGTAGGTTGCGCTCGAATTTACGCACGACGCTGGCGGTGCGCGACTGACAGCGCACATCTGTGGTGTCCACATCGAAAGCGCAGTACTTAGGTGTTGTATCTCTGGGTGCGCTGCTAGCATGCGCCGTCTCTACAGTAGACGTGAGTGTTGAAACGAGATTTTGCGGCTTTGCGGGCACAGGTGGTTTCGGTTTCACCGTTTTCTTAGTAAACAGCTTGTCATCGTAAGTGTTGCGTTCCATTTGTAGCGGATTCGAGGTGCGTTGCAGACGCTGTTGTGCAAAGTCCTGACTGAGACTCTTGTTGACGCCCGAATTGTATTGCTTGTTCTTAGAGCTGAGCGTCGGTATGTCTTCCGCTTTAATGCCGACAACTGTTCGCGGCGAATCAGCGATTCGGGGATATGTTTTCGAGTTGGGCAGTTTCTTTTGCAATATTGGCGTTTTTGTGCGTACACTTTCGGTTTTGAAATTCTCTAAATTGTAGCTTGACACATCAAAGCTCTCATAAGGTAACGGCGAATGCTGCATATTACGCTGCTGCATGTAGTAATCAAAGCTGCCATAAGCATTCGGACTCGAGCCGTACGACTTGGTCACCAGCTGTGTGGTGTTGGCTGCCGCAGCGCTTACCGGTCCATGCAAAATGAAGTTGCGTATGCCAGCATGACGTTGCACTTGCGTTTCCATAGGCGCGCTCTTACAATCGCTCTCATCTGAGAGTATGCTCTCCATGCTATTGCAGTAGCTGCCTTCATCCAAAAATTCATCGGAAAGTAGCGATTCCTGACTCTTGCGCTCGCCAAACTGTGAAGTGAGAAAGAAGCTGGCGCTTGAGTGCCGCTGTGTTTCGAGAAAACGCGCTTCCTCGATACGACGCGTCTCTGCTTGCTGCTCGGGCGCCAATATATCCGAGAGTGAAACATTACGATGACACTGATAGAATTCCTGATAGATGTAGTACTCGGACACGGCACGTTTTGGTGGTGTCACCGCGCCTGGCGACGGCATTTGATAGGGTAGCGTATATGTCAGATGCGGTCCAGCTGTGCGCGCTGCTATAGGCGGCTGCTTGCCTGCCGCATACACAGGTGGCGAAAGACAAGACGGCACTGATTGCGATGCTACAAGCTGTGAGTAACGTCCGCCCAATTTGGCATCATATAAATCGACACCGATATCATCCAGATCACCATACTTTTTCTGTATTTCTTCAATCATCTTCTCGGTATCGGCCTGTATCATGTCGAGTATGGTGCGCGCATCCTCCGCGTATACCGAGTGACGCTTTGGTTCGGTTATTATAATGCTGCTTTTATTATCCGCCGACCATTCGACCTCCTCGTGCACCGGCGATACAGGACACGACTTGTAGTGCTTCAGTATGCTTGGCGTGCGACGCGCATTGCCCGCCGGATTGCGTTTGACGCGCGTATGCTGACCTTGCGCGGGCAGCGTGGAGCTATTGAAAGCGCCTGACTGTTTGCCGCTACTATGTTGGGATTGCGTGCGCGTTGTGGTGTTGCGCGCATTGGGCGCCATGAAAGGTACGCCAGGCGGTGGATGTATTTGGTGTACACCAACATGATGCGGATATGGTGGATAGTGTTGTTGCACTTGACGCATAGCTTGACAGCTTTGTTGCAGCACCGAACGTGATGCAGCGCAATTGAAGAAATGTTGTGGTTGCTGTTGTTGTTCTTGACTAAACGATTGTTGGAGTGGTGAACGTGGATAAGTTGGATATTGTGATGAAGTTTGGAATTGTTGTTGCGCAGACATTTGTTGTGTTTGTGGCGGCATCTGTTGCTGTTGCTGTGTTGCTAATGTTTGTTGTCGTTGTTGTTGTTGCAATGGGGAATTATAATAGCTAGCGTACTGTGGGGGTTCATTAAAAGGAGCTACTGATTAGTAAAGCATATATTAGTAGTTAAAGTAAAGGCAGAAGTTTAGCAGTATATTAGGTCCAAATATTTCAATTTACATAGCCGCATGTATGAGGGAAGAGAAAATAGGGAGCAGAGTAAGAAATATATATTTGATGAGTATGAGAATATAGCGGTAAATATTAGTTGTTACTATGGTTTTTAGTTAAGGAACTATATAATCCAACGAATAGGGGTAAGGCAGGGTGGAGAAATTTTATATAAGGGTTATGACTTCAATCTTAATTTAGAAAAATTATTTTGAATCGATATTTCTGAGGAAAGTCAATTAATAATTTAATTGTATTGAAATTACAATTATTTATTTATTTAATGAAATTAAAATAAAATCAAATCAATACAATTCAACTCAATTTGATTCGATTCAATTCAATTCAGTACAATTCGATTTGATGTAATTCCATTTAATTTAATACAATTCAATTCAATTCAACTCAACCAAATTCAGTTCTGTTGAAATCAAATCGATTAAGTTAATTTCAATTTAATCACTTTCGTAAATTCGATTCAATTTAAATTCTGACTTAATCAGTTTCAATATTGATTATTGATTTAAATAAAATTAGAATTTTTGAATTTAATATGTTTAATTTTTTACAACTCTTTTAAATTTATACTCGTCTTAATCGTATAAATTACATTCAATAAAGTTCAATTTAATTCAATTAACTTACAGTTATTTAAATATGTGTACTTATATTCAAATATAGTCAGTTTAATTCAGTCTAACTCAAATTCTAATTGTTTAATTGTATTTTTGAGATTTCACTCACCTGTCTTTGCATAACGGTTAGCGGCGGCCGCCGATCTCGACGCATTATCCATATTACCCGCTAGACTTAGATCCGAAATACTGTGACTGCCACGCAGTGAGCGATAGCCAACCTAATTAAAAGTTAAAAATAAATATATATTAGTTATAAAAAAATTTTAAACAAAGAAAATTATTAATATTATTAAACAGTTATTAAAAAGTTTTATGTTAAACATTTACAAGACAAAGCGCTGACATTTAATTACATATGCTTGTATGTATGTATGTAAGTATGTACAGGATTATTAATATTAGTAAAGCAAAAAGTAATGGTTCGCTGTAATCTTTCTTTTTTTATTCACTTTCAAATGCCACGAATGACCGATTACTTTTTTCAATTTCACTTCAAACTCGTTCGCATATTCACATACATTTGTATAATCATTGTGTAGCTGATTTCGAGTTTGCGCCTTTTCTTGTTAACCTTACACTTTGTTAACCGTTGCGCTTCGCTATTTATAGTTCGATGTTACACACGTCGCGTGAAGCGCAAAATCAGCACTTGGTTTGTAGCGACGCATCTGCCTCGTGTGTTTGCTTGTTGCATTGCGTTATGCTTTGCGTGTTAATGCTGAAGTTACCATTAAAGCTAAAACGGTATAAGAAGCATCGGTGGTTCAGTGGTAGAATGCTCGCCTGCCACGCGGGCGGCCCGGGTTCGATTCCCGGCCGATGCAATTTAACTTTTTTAAGTTTTATACTTTATATATGTATTTTATTTGTCTATTTTTTATACAAATATTAATTAGGCGTTTGCGTTTATTTAAAATGGTTTTATGATTATTTCTTTAGTAGTATGACGTAATGTTATATTTATAGTTTAAATCTTATATAGATGTTTTAAAAATGTATATGCACAAAAAAAATGTTCAAATACTGGAGAACAGACAACCAGAATTTTTTTAAAGCTTTTAAATATTTCAACATTTGATGCAGAAAAATTCCACTGAGATAAATTTTCTAGGGAATTTTATGCGCTACACGAATCTTCGATGTAAAATCTTTTATAACCGCAAAAAACGGTATTTGTGATGAACACAGTTTTGTTTACGTGGTTTTTTAATGGGAAACTTTCTACGATATTTTTTTTTATTCTTTATATGGGTTCATTTTAACCTATGAATTCGATAAGTTCGATAAGTTGAATTCTCCATTCTGGATACTAAAATATACTAAATTCTTTAATTTGATGACTAAAAATGTACATTTTTTAAATTGATTTCGAATAGACAATCAGGCATGAACTTTAATTTAATGACGACAAGTTGCGTTGTTCTGACCAGCTTATTAGAGACTCGACATAACTTTAATACAGCCTTATACTATGTTCCGACCAAAATTTTTAAGTAATTAGATTAAATTTAATCCATTCACTAATCTAGACTGTTCTCACTGCCGTTGTTATAAAAGTCATCTTATTTTAAATAGTTTCCATTTAATGGAAATAATGGACACATTTTTTGATTTGGGAAGTCGATTGCCAGGTGAATTCAGATGCATTGCTTTTAAATTATTTGTTTGTTTATATTTTTCTTCTCTTTGTAGTGTCTAAATCAGCTATGATACATTTTCCTACCGACAAACAGATGACGCTAAGTTAGAGAAACGAGATTAACAAGATTATTGAGATTACCTAAATCTTGTGATTAAGTGTCGATCGGAACATGGTATTAATATCGAGAGTTTAAATTAAAGAGATTAAGAATATATTCAGGGTTGTGTCAGAAATCACACTCTCTATACTACCTTAAGTGGATTTAGGATATTTTAACACATTACCATAAAAACTTTAAGGTTTTGAAATAAAGAAGGATAACCGTAAATATTTTTTTTCCATAAAATATAGTCTAAAATGTTTTTTATATGCAACAAAAGTTGTTTTTTGTTTTAATTATATTTATGAACTTATAAATTAAACACAAAAAAAAAGCGAATCAAACTGAAATCTAGATTATAATTTAAAATACCAAATTATTTTAAAATAATTAAAAATGAAAGCGACATTCATATACATGCGTTTATGGCCAAACGAATATTCAGAAAATAAAATATGTGATGAAACTGTATGAAAGTCTTTTACAAATGTACTAGGTGAGCAGGTGCGCTGAGATATGAGTGGTGTGCACATAAGTAAATTTGAAAATGATTCCAATTAGGCGAAATAAGCGCAACGAAATAGAAAAGCGTAAATATTATGGCTGTGTGTGTGTGTGTATATGTACACCAGTTTTAGTACAGAAGACTTAGGACTTCAAGAAAGCGTCAAGTTATTAGAATGCCTTAGTAGTGCGTGTTACAGAAATTGTTACAGCGTGTTCGTTTTAGATATTTCTCACCTCCTGTATTGCATTCAACCTCTTAACTCCATTTTTACGTGCGCCCTAAGCACAAAACGTCGTGTACAACCCGTCAATAATAAATACAATCACCAAACAGGAAAATACATTTTTTTTTTTTGGTTTTGGTTGGGTTTTTTTTGGTCAATCAAGACACATAAGAGAGACAGACACAGGATTAGGGACGAAACAAATAAAAATATTTATGTGAAAAAACGCTTAAAAATGCCAATAGCATTAATATATGAGGTTATATATGCATATATAGCGTTTACTTACATTTTCCAATTGCTGTTTCACTTCGCTGATCACCTTCAGCAGCTCGTCCTTCTTCGTGCTGGTGAACGACTTCGTGATAGTGGACGCGCTGGAAACAGGCTTACCGTTCTCTGTATTATGTTTGGCACTAATACTGCGTCGATCTGCAAAATACACAACATTACAGTGAGAACTTAGTTCACTTACTTCTAAAAGTCACAACTTACTTGTGCTGCCACGCTCTAGCAAGCTGCCAGGGCCCTCGGGTAAGGCGGCCTGCAGGAAACTGCTTGTCGCTTGTGGTATACTTTCCGAACTGCCACCTAAGGTGGACGCCAGCGAACGCTCGGCATTCTCAGCGCTCGGTGTTGAGCCTTCGTCTTCGGTGTCGGAGGTGCCAGTGCCGGTGCCAGTACTGGCGGTGTGTGTGCTGCCATTGCCGGGTAACGTCAGACCGACTTTATCGAATTTCTGTCTACGCATCGACTTGCGCAGTTCATCCTCATTCATGGCGGTCACTTTGAAGTCACTGAAAATATTGAGAAAGTAATTAATTTTACTAACAATGCTGCTGCGCTGGCCGATATTCGCTTACGTTGGTGTGCTGGGCGATATGTTGTTGTAGAACATGCCGTGATCTGAACTGGTGCGTTCGCCATCCGAAATATCCTCAACATCGCCATCATGCTCATTGGATTGTGGATCGAAACGCAAACCGGGCTTGCGTTTCTCAGGCGCCAAACGATTGGCCGCTGTGCCACCATTACTGCCGGTCACCGTTGGCACTGTACCACTGTTATTGCTGCCTATGAACTTCAATTCACGACGCGTTTCCATACCGGAGTCAATTGACGAATCTTCGCTGAGGTAAGTCTGGTTATACATAATGTCCTTGGACGATGCGCTATTATAGTCGGATGTTTGTGTATTGCCCATACCACCAACACTCACAACGACACCAACACCACCGCCGACGCCGCCCATACCACCACCACTCGACGAAATAGTGCCCAAAGGACTTTCCGAATTCGAACGCAGATCGTCCGGGTCAAATGGGCCACGTTGTGCCCAACGGCCACGCGCACGCGGCACACCACCAACACCTAATTGGCTGGGTGATGAACTCAAATTGGACGTTGACGAGGCAGACTGCATAGCAGAGACGGTTGAGCCAGGTATGGAGACGCCACCGCTCTCATCTGCATTCGCCGCAGCCTTTCGTTTCGCCCACTGCGGTAATTGTCCGACGTCAGAGAATTTATAGCCCGGCGTTAGTGCCGGCTCCTCGGTGAACATTGACGGCGATACGATGAATTTGTGTGGTGTTGCCGTTTCCTCCATTTCATGTGTTGGCGACTCGACTATGATACCCTCCGGCGTGGCAATAATCGAACCGGGTCGTGCTGGTAGCGGCGCATGACCAGAACGTAGCCGCTGTTGTGAGAGACGCGCTTGCATTGTGACAATCATATCGTGTGGCACTTGCCACACAAAAATGCAGCCATCACCGCTGGCCGAAATGAGATGGCGACAGTCGTTGGTAAATTTGAGCCCGGTCACCAACTCACTGTGGCCATACATGCGTGCCATGCACTCATTCGAATAGTAATCGTAGACTGCAAGCGTTTTATCTGTGCACGAGGTGGCCACGTAAATGCCACTGGGATCGAGGCTGAGCTTAATCAAACTACCCTCGTCCGAGTGTGAACCCTTGAAGGTTTTTGTGTGTTTGGCGTTTTGTGTGCCATAGACGCGTATATTGCGATCTTGGCAGGCGGTGAGTATGTGTTTGGCATTTGAGTCCACTTCCATGTCATACAATGTTGTTTTGCCGGAAGTATTTGTGCCGCGCAGGAAAATGTTGCCCTATACGAAATGAGAGAAGACGAAATATATTAGAAAATGCGCATGTCTAAAGTATCAACCATTAGCTTGAATTACCTGGAACGTTCTGAACATAATTGACTTGTCCGCACCGCAAGAAATCATCTGGAAATTAAGTCCGGAACCCACAAATCTAATCGATGTTATGGAAGACGAGTGATCGTCCAATGTCTGCAACAGCAAGTAATCTTGTGACACATCGAATACGTGTATTAGACGATCGCGACTCGCGCTCGCCAACAACTTCCGTTCGATCTTCTCATTCGAATACTCGAGACACAGCACTTCCGATTCGTGTGCCTCAATTGTCATGATTAGCTTTGTATTCGCCAAATTATAGATTCTTATGTTGCCACAACGATCGCCGCTGGCCAAATGCTGCAACTCCGGACTAATTCGTATGCAGCGCACACCATTGCGACCATCATAGGCGGTATTGGAGTTTTTATCGCCCGAAAGATCTTGATCCTTGATAAAATTCATTTCTTCGTCGATGTACATAATTTTTAACAGTTCCTTGGAGTAGATATTTTTACGATAATTTTCCGTGTTTGTGCAGCCATCAAGACCCCACACGCGAATCGTATCATCCGAGGAGCACGTGACAAACGACTCTTCGGGCAGTGTATCCGACAATTCGCGCTCCATATTGTATGGCACAGTTTCCACGCCCCAAATGCAGGTGGAATGATAGAGAAAAGAGTGCGATTTGCCCACACGTTTTATATCCCGCATATCCCAAATGTAGAGCGAATGATCATTGTACACGCAACTGACCTGTGGTATAAAAAAGAAGAGCGTGAGAGATCGTTAGAGAGTTTTTGGTGGCAACTAAATTAGCGCCCCTAATAAAATTACCTTCGCTCGTTGCTCATCATAAACCATTGCCACACAATCCGGATATTTGGCATGCGATGGTACAGTCATGATGTGATTGATATGTATACCCTGCGCCACATCCACACCCAGATAATGTGTACGCGGCAATGTCGTCACATATTCCAATGTAGCGGCATTAAAAATGCGTATAATGGCTTCGGCACAACCGACAAGTATAAAACGAGCATTCACCGTTAGACAATTAGCGCTCGTCGTACGACATTGCACCCACTTGTCCAACAAACGACGTGAACTGAACTCAACCAAATGACCCTGTCGGGTAATGGCATATGTGCGATCCTTAGTCTCATCCTTGCCGCAGGCGACCGCACAAAAGTCATTGTCACGCAAATCACCCAATATGGCACTGCGACCCATCAACGGTATAGGATCCTTGTACTGAAATGTGGTGGAAGTGTACGAGGTGAGTTTGTGGTTGAATTGGGTAGGTCGTCTCGATTTTATTTTTTTTTACTTACCCTGCGTCCACCCTCCATATACCAGTATTTGACATGACGATTGCCCACTGTGACAAAATAGCTGCCATCCTCGGCAAAGCTGAGCGCCGACACTTTGGAGCTGATTTTATTTGAGGCCATCTTTTGATTCGAACGCCAGTCGAATACATTCACAATCATATCGTGTTGTGAACCGATCGATACCAGGTACTTGCCGGTGGGTGAGAAGGCCTGAAAAGTGTAGTGGGTATATAGTTTAAATTAAATAAGCAGCAAGAGTATATTTCTTATTAAATTTGTGCTCTAACTCACCACACATGTGACGGCATATTTGTGATCGAAGAACTCCGCCACCACATTACCGCCGGTGGTGTGCTCGAGATTGCCATTCGGCGAGTCTAGCTCCCAAACTTTTATGGCGGGATTAATGCCACACTCGCCGGTGGCGACATAACGGCCGCAGCGTGAGAATGCGACCGATGTGAATGGTTTGCGGGATGTGTTGACCAGGTAGGCCTGTGTTTGACGCTTCGCATTGAACAGTACCACAGTGCAGCTGCAAGAAAAGAGAAGTAATAAGGTTAATAATTCGGAAAAGTAAGGCAAAAAGTTTAACGAAAAGGAAATCACTCAGAATATTAAATGTTAAAACATAAGTCAGTTTAATTTTAATTATTTATAAGCAAGTGGTTGGCAGCGCAACTACGAGACCTTTTCATTAAAAAATCACCTGCTGACTTAATTAGCCCTGTTCGCCTTTAATGCCTTTTTAACAGCTTTATGTCGCATGTTAAATATTTTGTTGCAGTTGCATAGCAAAAGCTTGCGCAAATCCTTTGTTAAGACTGACAGGAAGGAAGCTCGTTTTAACAATTCTTTTACAATGCCGAGCAGCAGTAAATTTACAAACACACACTTTCATTCTGACATGCTGATATGGCATGACATAAAAAATTGCCAGCGAAAGTAAAGTAGTTGCGCATTTAAAAAAGCAAGATAGGAAGTGAAAAAATGTGTGCTGAAAAAAGGAACAGTTAAAAGTTGAGCAGCAGCTTGTGTGCCCTTGCCTTGACTTTGTGCACACATTTAGTTCTAGAGTTTATAATAGTTTTCCTTGTACAGAAGGGCAGAACCGGCGAAAAGAAAAACAATTTATGCTTTAATTTTATGAATTTGTTTTCAATACCATTAAAATAAATATTGTTGGAAAATTTCCATTATATTTTAACCCATTGAATTCCACTTAAAGACGACGATATGGATTTTACTTCAAGAAAACTCTCAAAAATTAATTTGGAAAGCTTTTGAAGGATTTGAATATGCTAAAATAAATTCTTTCGTAATATTTCAATAATAAGTACTTAGCATCACCAATATTGTAAGATAAACGGTTTTGCGTGTAGTACATGCTCATAGACAGCTACTGTCAAAAGCCGAATCGCAATCATAGTTTTGTTCTGCTCGCGTGTGGAAGTCAACAGATTTAAGAAAAATGGAAAAAACAACAAGCTCGTTCGTTGATTCGATTCTTGTTTTTAGAAGTCAATTCGTGCAGTGAAGTCATGGAACGCTTGTATGTTGTACACGATTCTGTTTAAAGGCTAAAATGTTTTAACGAGCGAAGATAAGTGCGATAGCTGAGACAGTAGGCAACTCAAAAGACGGAATGGGTCATAGTCTGCATGAAATTTTGAGCTTTGAGAGAGTATTGAAAACGATGGATGAAATGTTTGCTCACTGCGAACAACAAGAGCAGTCGTGAGACCCATTTACGGTGGTGTTTAACACTTAAGGAGTGACAGGGTCGTTTCGGAACCTTCGATGAAACACGGATTCACTGGAAAGTACCAGAGATTAACTGTCCTATCACCTGGAAAGGAGTAGGCTACTGTTTTCTGGAATTCACAAGGTGTTATCTGCATTACCTTTTTGGAGATGGTAAGTGTTTGGATCACAGGGGCTGTTTCATAGTACATGCAGAAAAATGTTCGTTTCTACTATGATACGGCACTGAATTACACGTCCTCCATCACCACGGCCAAAGTGAATGAATAAGACCACGAACTGCTGCCTCATACACTATGTTCGCCTCGTGCCACTTCTTTTTGATTTCAAATTTTAGAAACTTACTCGCGGTGCAGAAAGTTATTCGAAATAAATTCAGTTATTGCCGCCACGGCGACCCAATTTGCAGACCTCCCTCAAACGTATTTTTCAGACAGGTTAAACAAGTAAGGTCATTAGGTGCAGGTGAATCGATTTAAAAGAGGATTATTTTGAGATAAAAATCATAAGTTTTCGAAAATTTTTGTTCCTCGTATCCATAGTAATGTAGGGCGATGTTATCTATCTCTACGAAGCATAGTTTGAAGTATTCGTGAATAATTCTTAGTTGAAATTCGAAAATCGGAACTTGTTCTAAGTTTTTATTACACGTACTCTTTAAAATGATATTGCCGTTCCCCTTGTGTAGCGTTCAACTAAGTTATTGAAGCCAAAAAAGTTGCTCCAGAACTTTACTGGGTTATGAACTCGATTGCGACTGATGTAGTGCGCCACGGACGCTAATATTTGCTTAAGCAGCGCAAGTTCATACGAGGCTTGCTCATATTTTGACTTTAACAGCTTTATATATACACAAATTTACATATATGTTACGTAACATATACGTAAAACATAAACAAGCATGATTCCCGACCGCTTTTTCAACACACCAGGCAAGTGTTTGCATAAGTGAAAGCTTTGAAAAGGCTCTCCGCTGTTGTGCAACAGTCCAAACGCTAGTTGGTAAGTCAATCAGTCAGCGAGTCGCGCAACTACCACCCATTCCCAGCATAATTCCAACCAACACAGTAGAGGGTAGTAGTACAGCGGCGCCAACCAACAAATTTGTCTTATGAAAGACAAATGTTGCCATCCTCGCTGCGGCCCCTCAATCTCAACAATTTGCAAGTGTTTGCCAGCTGTCAACATGCTGCAGGCCATTCTGAGATTGTTAGCCGGGGTTTTGGCTATTTTAGCGTATATGTTAAGCGACAGTGGAGGCTGCCAAACAAAGCTACTTTGCGCGGAAAATCCATCAGCAGAGTTAATGCTCGTGTTCGGTTACATGTGTCGTGGTTAAGGTTGCATGTGGTCCTTCGCGCTGCGAGGCCACTGCCACTAACCACCCTTCCCCCATCTCTTGTCATCTATTATCGCTTAGTTTGAGCTTCGAATTTATCTTTTATTTATGACAAATGCAGCTGTGGCCCGCATTCAAAGTCGCATTTGGCATTTGCCTCCCTGCTCTTCATCACTTTACAACAAACACACATGCATTCGCTTCAATGTTGTCTCAAACAATCAAGGACAAAGGACAAAGGACAAAGTACGCGTTCAGCCAGAAAGTTATGCTTCCGTGTTGGCTGAAAAGCTCTGCACAGCGTTCAAGTGGGAAATCACCATGTTCGCTGTTATTCGAAAATATTGTAGTAGCGGCTCAACTGAGCGTATACGTAACATTTCAACGTAATTTACAAATGTTTAAAGCTTTCTTAACGCTCTCTGCTTTTTCTCGCTGTATTTACATTTGGCTAATGCTATTTACTTATACTGAGCATAAGTTGAGCTTTTGTTGTTGCAGTCATCGATTTTCGCTGTTAATGTGAAATGTAATCAACGTGATGCATTCAATAAGCATCAGGCTGCCAAATTCAATTTTGTGCGCATCTATATTTTTCCCACTGCCGAATAAACAGCTGAAGATATGCTCAGAAAATTAAATTGCATGCACGAGTGCAAACTTACATATGTATGAAAGTGCAGAAGTGCAAGTGGATGTGCATATTTTACTAGAATTGCGCGCAAGGTCTGCTGAAAAAGAGGTTATAAATTGTAAGGATATTCAGAACGAACTGACCAATTCCAAGCAGTTGAAATATTTCTGATTTTATTGTATATGCAAATCGGATTTTCTATTTCAATTCAAAATGAATTTCTCAAAGTTTAAGTACCGACAATAAACTAGCAGAAAGCAAAGGAAGTTCAGCGGAAGTGAAAGTAAATCAAATTTTAATGTATACACACAGAAATACACATGTTCCACGCTATTCAGAGAGGATAAATGTAAATTATATTTGAGTTATTTATTGAAAAAAAACGTTAACTTCGCTTGCACCGAAGCTATAATATAATACTTTTCACAAAATATAACAGATTGATTTTGATAACAGCTATGTGCTATAGTGATTTGATCTGAAAAATTCCTTTGGAAATTTCACTATTGTCTTAGACAATAACCTATGCCAAATTTCGTGAAGATATTTCGTCAAATGAAAATTTTTTTCATACAAACACTTTACTCCGATCACGTTACCGGCGGTTCCGACCAATAAACAGCTTCTTGGGGAGAAAGAGACGTGTGTAAAATTTCAGAACGATATCTTAAAAACTGAGGGATATTAGTTATGGTCGCCTAAAATATGTAGAATCTCTCTAAATTGTTTTTATATAGTTTTGAATGGTTTATTTGCAAATTGTTGCCTTGTTCTGCTCGATTTTACAGAAAAAAATTTTCTTAAAAATCTGCTTATAGTTAAACCCACAAATCAAATATAATAAATATATATATATACGAGTAACGGCGATATAGCAGCAAAAGCTTCCTGCTTTCGGCGGTGACCTAATTTATAAATCTAACCTTTGTGGAAAACTAAATTCCACAACTAAATACTTCTCAACAAACAAATTGAAGCCACAAAGCTATGTATTCGCGCTTAACCCATGACTTAAATAAGTACTTTTCATTTGCTTTCGACAAAGTTTAAAAATAAGCTTCTATAATACCAAATTGCGCTATGTACTAAGAGGAAACTCATTACGCTGCGGTTGAACTACTCGCTGCTGCTTTCAGCTGTAATTAACGAGAAAAAGTGTTTTTCAAACTTTCAAAGATACGCGGTTGTGGCGCAAACAACCGTTATATGCACTTAAAGTCCCCAAAAACAGATATTGACAAACAACAACAATTTGGAACAAGTTTTTATTTGTTGCTTTTGTGGTTAAATTGAAAAAAAAGAACACTTACCCTGCTGGATAGGCCAAGAGACCGCTAACGGGCGAAACATCCAAGGCGGCATTGCTGCAAACTGTGAGGCCGAGCACTTTTTTGAGCTTTATCTGTAAATGAACGGAAAATAAACACAGAAAATAAATGGTTAGAATTGTGTTTCAAATGGTTGAAGAAAGTGATTGGGAGAAATTCAATAAATATATGTAAAAGTGGACAAAATTTCGGTTTTAACTTGTTTTTTTTTGGTTTTTTGGAAAGCAAAATTTTCAATCGATAGCATTGACGTGTGGTCAAAGGTAATGTATTACACTGAATAGAAATTGAACTTACTGTTGGCTATGTTTGTTTGCATTCGTGTGTTTACTAGTAGCTGCAAATGCTTTGCTTGTGTAAATAAAAGTTTAATGCCATTTAAAATTCATTTAATTTGTTAGATCAATCAAATGCTGTCGCATTCAATTAGTTTCTAAAATTTATGAGTTTAATTAAAAAGCAGCTCTGATAATTAGAGTATATCACTTATATTTAAAAATATTGAAAAATACAAATTTAAAATTTGTTACACAAAATAAAAAATATATATACATATGTATATATAATAAAAAATTATATATAAAATTTAATATTTAAATTCAAGACAAAAAATGTGTTTAAAATTTAGCTAATAATATGGAAAACAAAAAATTCAGATTTAAAATTGATTTAAATAAAGTCAACTTACAAAATTCTTAACAAGTTGTTAGACATAATTATTTTACTAGTACATTCAAAAAAGAAAATAAGAGAATATGTGCAACGAAATTCAATGAAAAAGTCAGACATTTTAATACAATATAATATATCACAATTTTTAAAAATAATCGGAAAAATTTAAAACAAAAAAAAAAAATTCTGAAATAAAAAAAACATATTAATGCAAGTAAAAAACGTAAAAAACGAATATATAAAATTTTATATTCAATATTAAAAAATATAAATAAAAGTTGAAAAAAAAATTAAAATAATATAGTAAAAAATTTTAATTTAAAAATAAGTGTCTTTTAAAATGTTTTTTCAAGGTTAAAATATTTTTGTACTCGACTTTACTAATTATAAAAAAATTTTGAATTAATTATACTTTTTCAATTATTAATTTATTTGACTATATAAAAAAAATGTATCTTTCAAAATGTTTTCTTTAAGTTTTCTATAATTTTTTAATTGTACATAATCTATAATGTCTAAAATAAAAGGGATTTACTTTAAATTGTTAACTTAATTTATTAATTCCATTAAAAAACAAGTTTTATAAAAATAAATTAATAAGTTTAATTCTAAAAAAAAGATAAAAAAAACGCATTTTTGCATAACAAAGTTTACAGCAGTGCTAAAACAACACACACACCACATGCAAATTTCAAGATAAAAAAAGTGCTAAAAAATAATTAATTCACCGAGGCAATTAAAACGTAATGCAAAAAATTACGTAAAGTATAGATGTTAAAATTTATGGAAAACAGCGCAACAATAAATCAATGCAAAGAAGCACAAGTCACGTACACGCTAAACAAACAACAACAAAAGGCTTGTCTCGAACGCTAAAATGCCAGTTAGACGACGTCATGCAAAATCGCAACAGTCGCCAAAACGACTCCCGCCACACAAGTAGTTGACATCAGCATCCAGGCAAATACCTAGATGCACTTACATATTTGATAATTAAATAAACGTTTTAACTATAAGCTAACAAAATTATTTATTTATTGCAAAGTTTACATTCATGTTTACTTTTTATTTTCATTTTTTTTTGACTTTTTATTATTATTTAATTTTACTACGCAATTCACAAAAGTACGGCAACCACAGCGCACAATATGTGTCGATTACAGACTAAACAGCGAAACGCCACCAATCAATTGGAAACTGTAATTTAGCCGATGCGCCGAGGCACTAACACACGCTTACACATACATATGAACGAACATACACACATGTAACCTTTTTGTTAATTTCAAAAGCAACATTACGGGTATTTCAAGCCTTCAGTCATTCAACCACCCATTCATGCATTCAATAGCCAGCAGCATAGTAACGCGATACATTCGTATAATATACCAGCGGCACACTCGCCGCCGTCAACTGTGATGATTTTCATTGACTTGGCGAGTCGTTGTGCGACGTTGCGTATACGTAATGTGTTATTAAGATTCACCTTGATCTTGTCTAGCAGCGTGCACAGCTGAGTTGAGGCGGTATTGTTAGTGTGCTATTTTTGTTGTTGTTGCACAACAATCATAACTACCGCGTGGGGAAAAGGAGGCGTGCTGCATGTATTTAAATGAAGCTATAATTGTGCAAACAGGTAGTCGAAGTATCGAAAGATGAACGAGAAAAGGGACAGAGGAGGCACAGCGAAATTAAAGCAGAACTTGTAAATGTGTAGAAAAAATAATACAGAAAAGTTACAACGTAGTATTGCTGCTGCCATTCAACGATAGTTAGTCAATAATTGAGATCATCGAGTAATTTCAGTTCACGTGGAGAGCGAGTTGTGTGGGTAAACACTTGCTAATGGCTTTCGAGTGGTTATTATTGTTATGGTACAACTCATTAACATATTAGTTTGTGTGGCGCGTGTAAAACATGAATATATATTTACATAGAAAATACCTTTAGTTTATTAATTCATTAGATATTCGTTAATCTTACTTAAAATTGACAGAAATTCTGCTTTGAGAGCTTTGTTATTTTTGTTTTTGATTTTCAATTAGAGTTAGCAATAAATCACGATTTCATAAAACGAGCTTTACAAGCGCCGTTACTTTCAGTTTTGCAATAATTAAAAATAAAATTAAAATAAAATCGTGCCGAGAAAAAAAAATCTATTTATAGTATTTCACCATGACATAAGAAATGTTTGTTTAATAAATATTTTTATAACCTGAACAGAGTGTAACAAGTTTGCCACGAAATTTATAACACCCAAATGGAAACGTCGGAGGCCCTATAAAATATATATATATACCATAAATATCTGTATATACGCGAACCTTATACCGAGTGACTAAGATTTTGACAAGTCTTTTTCTCCACAAAAAGCTGCCGGAACCGATATCGGACCACTATAGCATATAGCTGCCATACAAGCTGAACGATCGAAATCAAGTGTTTGTATGGAATAAAATGTCATTTAACGAGATATCTTCACGAAATTTAGCAAGGATTATTGTCTAAGGAACTTAACATTTTTTTCTTGTGGAATATGTCTCACTTCTACTGTTGTATGACTTTTTTCGAAATCCTGCTGATCCGAAAAAAATTTAGTGAAAGGTTTTTCAACCGTCATTCTAAATTACTAATAGTATCATAAGGAAAAAATAATATGGAATGCCCTAAGAAGTATATTTAGTAATACAAATAGAGGAGAGGGTGCTAACTGAGTCTTTATCAAAATATCAGGGCGTTTTCAAGCCTCCAAAAGGCAAGGTAACTTACTACTTTTTCATTGAAGATTACTGGCTATGAAAATTATTACTTTAATAGCTTGCTAAATTTCACTAAAATTTTCATCAGTTTGTATGCTTTTTCGAATTAATTTTTAATTAAATAATTTTTCAAAAAATTTCACTTTTTCAATTTTTTTAATAAAATGGTTTGAAAATCCATTTTTCTACATAAATTATTTTGCAGAAATGAATTTGAAAACGAATTATAATAATTTATATGAAGTTCAAATATTTTCTCAATTCGAAAGTTTTCGAAAATGTATCGGTAATTTTTTTTTTTCAAAACTTACTTACTATTACTTACTCAATTTTTTTAAAAATAATTTTGAAAAATATTTTTAGCCACATCAGTTATTTTGAAGAATTACATTTAGATATAAATTATATAAAATTCTATATAGTTGAAATATTTTCGGTATTCGAAAGTTTACAAAAATGTATTGGTAAATATTTTTTTTTCAAAACTTACTTTTTCAATTTTTTTTAAATAATTCCTGTTTTGAAAAACATTTTTAGCTGCATAAATTTTTTTGAAGAATTAAATTTGGATTTAATTTTGTAATAATTTCCATTTAGTCAAAATATTTGCAAAATTCGAAAGTTGTCAACAATGTATAAATATTTCTTTCTTTTCAAAACTTATTTTCTCTAAACATATTTCTAACTTTTTTCAGACCATTATGCACATTAATTTTACAATATTAAAGCAAAAGCTCACGTTAAATAGTTGAAAAAATATACATTATTTTCGAATTAAAAAAATTTTAAATCACTATAAAATATATTTAAATATTTCGTATTAACACATTAATTTTATTAATTTATTTTAATTTAAAAAAAAAAAACAATTTAAAAACTTATGTATTTTTTAGTTTAGAGTGGTTTCATCATTGAAAAATATAATCATAACCGAGTACAAATTCTCCGATTGTATTTTTCAATTAATTAGTCTTTTTAATTGTTCAACATTTTGCATAACAGTATTATGTAATAATACTTAAAATATTTTATGTAGTGTTAATAAAAAGTTAAACATTTAAGAAAATATTTAAAAAGTGAAATAATTAATCACTTGCAAAATAATAACGTAATTATAAATATAAACAACGCTGACCAGTGTGGTATAAAAGTTTTTGTTTTTACCATTTACCTATTAATTATCGAATTAAATTCAGTGCGCTCAACAGCAAGTCTTATCATCATAATTATTATTAGCCATGAACTTATTTTTATTTGCACTAAATTGCCTAAATTGCCATGCCAAACAATCCTAACTATACAATTATAGTTTTCAAGACCAAAACTTATGTGAATGAATAACAAACGCTAATTAGTAAACAAAAATTTAAAATATTTGTATAAAATTTTTTGTTGATTTTTACAACTAAACCAAAATACTGATAATGCCTAAAACTAGTTTATTTGATTTCGATTTTATTTTTAATTTTGCCACAGTTTATAAATATGCAAAATTATGTAGATATGTGTGTATGATAAAATGACAACAAACGTGATTTGAAAATCCATTCTCAATGCTAATTAACGTATTTACGATATGTCAATATTGGTGTGTGAACAACAATATTTCCATAATCGTATGCATACCACAGCAACCGAGATTA